TCATTATGACATTCCACTGTCACAATCTGGGAACCATCCTTCCCTCTATGCTGCTGGTTTTTCAGGGAGCTTCCCTCCAAGAATGGGACCCACTGAAGCTACAATCAAGGGGATAGTCCTTCTAAACTTCTTAAGACTTAAGAACTTCCCACTATTCTCCTTTTCAGTGTCAGTGGTCATTGATGTTCATCCTCAGTGGTCCTAATGTTCCACTATCTTCTGCTTTGGGACAAAAATGCCTTGCAGCTCAGATTTGACCACTCACTTCCTTCCTGTGAAGTGTGTACTGGTGAAGGCGTTCCTGCACCCTCTGTCTGACAGGGTCACAGCGTGGAGGATGCTGCGGCAGGGCCACACCATCTGGAAACTGGAACCATGGGGAATGTTAGGTGTTTTATTTATGATACTCATGATATGGATAACAGGGCATACGTCAATCAATAATAAAAGTACATATTGCCTGAGATTGCAGGAAAATTCCCAGAATGAGATTAAGGATACAATTAAGACATGCCCCAAGATGTGTTTCAATATCTCTCAGGAAATAAACAATGGTGTTATTCCTGAAGCCTAAACAAGAAATGTTTATCCCATGGTTAAAAATTTACAAACATCACCCCCCCGCCCCCCCATGGCCTCCCTCAACCCACAACCTGTGCAACAGCCTAGCTACAGAACAACAATTGCTGTGCCAACAGTACAAAGACCACCTTAGGTAGCTTACTTAAATAAAGGAAGATTATGGTATCCCCCTCGAGAACAAGGGCTAATAAACATACATTCCCCCCACTAACAGACCCTCCTTTGCCTTACACAGGAATTTATGATGAAATTGGGAAACACATAGTTAATATTAATAGTAAATGGGTTGAGGTGCAGAGCCTGTCCTTTAGTTGAAGAATACAAAGACGTAAGACTTGGTGTACTTTGACCAAGGATCAAAGAAACTCTTTAAGAAGGCAGTTAAATGGGTCATATGAAAAAAGAAATTACTTTGGAAATTAAAAATAGAATATAAAATTAACATAGATATATTTTAGAGGCACTTTAGAGTGGTAGGCTTTTAAGTAATAGACTTTCACTATTTTAAGGGTGTTTTATTGGGATTTTAGTTTAGAAGTAAGAAATCTTATCAATAATTATAGGTATGCTTTAAAGTTAAAAGTTAATAATAGGTCCAGAGATGTGTAGTCAAGTTGCAAAGCCTAGCACCTAGTGATTGAGGTAAAAACATAAAAGCTTAATCATAATTGGCAAAAGTTACAGGAAAATATTTTAAACAATGTACTCAATATGTTAGGTAATCAATGTATGTCAGAAAAGATCATAACTTTTGAAAATTTTGTAAATCAAAGAAGTTTTGGGCTTTGAGACTATTCATTAACTATCTGAAAAAAATACCTGTAAAAAAACTATAAAAAATAAATGCGGCCAATTTGGAAAGCAAAATGGAGATTCCTGGGAAAGCTGGGAATGGAACCACTATTTGACCCAGCTATTGCCCTTCTCGGACTATTCCCTGAAGACCTTAAAAGAGCATACTACAGGGATACTGCCACATCGATGTTCATAGCAGCACAATTCACAATAGCTAGACTGTGGAACCAACCCAGATGCCCTTCAATAGATGAATGGATCAAAAAAATGTGGCATTTATACACAATGGAGTATTACGCAGCACTAAAAAATGACAAAATCATGGAATTTGCAGGGAAATGGATGGCACTAGAGCAGATTATGCTAAGTGAAGCTAGCCAATCCCTAAAAAACAAATGCCAAATGTCTTCTTTGATATAATGAGAGCAACTAAGAACAGAGCAGGGAGGAAGAGCATGAGGAAAAGATTAACATTAAACAGAGACATGAGGTGGGAGGGAAAGGTAGAGAAAAGGGAAATTGCATGGAAATGGAAGGAGACCCTCATTGTTATACAAAATTACATATAAGAGGTTGTGAGGGGAATGGGAAAAAAAAACAAGAAGAGAAATGAATTGCAGTAGATGGGGTAGAGAGAGAAGATGGGAGGGGAGGGGAGGGGGGATAGTAGAGGATAGGAAAGGTAGTAGAATACAACAGTTACTAATATGGCATTATGTAAAAATGTGGATGTGTAACCGATGTGATTCTGCAATCTGTATTTGGGGTAAAAATGGGAGTTCATAACCCACTTGAATCAAATGTATGAAATATGATATGTCAAGAGCTTTGTAATGTTTTGAACAACCAATAAAAAAAATACAAAAAAAATGCCCCTCTAGGGGCAGCAGATTTTTTCTTGGAGGCTGCTCCTAACTTGCAACCTGTCATCCTGTCTCTTCTTCTTTTGCTTATGCCAGTCCTCTTTCAGGACCCCTGGATTCCTGCTTGGGCTGGACCCCTGCAGTGGGGGCATCTGTTCTGTCCCTGCTTGGGCCCCCACAGAAACTTTGCAGATCACTGAGTCGGGTGAGCACTTCCTGAGGGCAGCTCCATCCTGCTCCCTCTGTTTGCAATGAAAAGAAGGGGTTTCACTGACTTTTGGCTAGTAGTGATTCCTCTACAAATTGCTCATCAATGGATTCTCAAGAGATCCCTCTGCAGAGGTGGTCTCTCTGGCTTATTTGCTGCTCTCTGGAGGTGGGGAGATTCTGTCTTGATTTACAGAGGTGACTGGTCAGCTGGGGGCTCCACAAATGGCTGAAGAGTTTGGCACAGCTTTCCATTCACAAATTGGTTTTAAACTGTTTGATCTGCTTCAAGGATGATGCTGCTCCCATCATGCTTTAATTTTTTTTTCTGCCTTTGTTTCAAGAAGAGGTGGGGGAGTTTGTGTGTTTTTCTCTTGCCTCTTTCTTTCTCTGGTCCCAACCCCCTTCCCCTACCCTGGTCCAGGTTAAGGGTTGGGTGACTCTGTGCTTATTTTCTACTCTGATAATCAATCTTCAAGTCTCTTCAGGTCTCAGACTTTGTAATATTGGTTCTTAGAGCATTTATTTTGTCATCCACCTCTCAGATCATTTGTTCTTTTGTTACCTCCTTTCTCCTCTGTTGCTTTCTGAAGATAAACATGTGTCTTGAAGTAGTAAGTATTCCTCAAGGATCTCCTAATTAGCAGTTGGGAAAACTGTTCTTAAAAGAGAGTATTTCAGAAAGTCTGAATTAGTTAATTGAATTTCCTTCCTTTTCAAAATGCTTCTCTTGCTTTTGCCTTCTAATTGTCTTATTCCATGTTTTTTAAAATTTTTATTTATTCTTTTAGTTATACATAACAGTAGAATCCATTTTATATATTTATACAAGCACGCAAATTCTAATTAACATCCCAGTCTTGTGGACATTCACGATGGTGAGATCTACTATGATGTATGCATGTATGTACTGCCACAGCCCGGCTGGCTGGGCAAAATAGCTGGGGGGTGACGAATAACTTGTGTACGTTGATACAGCAGGAGTGGAAGCCATTTATTGTAGGATAAGAGCAGTATTTATACATTCCACACAGCTTATCTAATTAACATAAACTCGATACAGCACTGAACCAATAAGAAATCTCCACACTTAATGGCTCGCTGGCGTTACTTCACAAACCACTCCTTCTGGCATTTTGCCAGGCGCCATCCAGACTTGTTTACAGACTCTAACATTTTCCAGGAGCCATCCTGACTTGTTTACAGACTCTAACAATGTACATAGGAAACAAATTGCACATTAATTCCACTATTTTTTCCTATTCCTATCCCTTTTCCCTTTCCTTCATTCCCCTTTGTTTAATCCACTGAACATCTATTCTTCCCCGCCTCCCCTTATTGTGAGTAAGCATCCATATATCAGAGAAAATATCAACATTTGGTTTTTTGGGATTGGTTTATTTTACTTAGCATGATAGTCTCTAAATGTGCAGTTGTGGAGTTTCATCGGTCATGTATTCCTATAGGAACATAGGAAACTTATGTCTTATTCATTCTACTGTCTTTCCCATTTCTATCCTTCTCCCTTCTCTTCATTGCCCTTTGTCCAATCCACTGAACTTTTATCCTTTCCCTCTTCCTCTTGTGTGTTAGCATCTGCATATCAAAGAAAATATCTGACTTTTGTTTTTTTGGTATCAGCTTATTTTGCTTAGCATGATACCCTCCATTTCCATCCATTCACTGGCAAATGACATCATACCATTCTTCTTTAAGTCTGAGTAACATTTTATTGTGTATATATGCCACATTTTCTTTATCCATTCATCTGTTGAAGGACACCTATGTTGGTTCCATAGTTTAAGCTATTGTGAATTGAGCTGTTTAAACATTGATGTGGCTATGTCACTATAGTATGCTGATTTTAAATCCTTTGGGTATATACCATGGAGTAGGATAATTGAGTCAAATGGTAGCTCCATGCCAAACCTCCTGAGGAATCTCCATACTAATATCCAGAGTGGTTCACCAATTTGCAGTCTCACCAACAATGTGTGAGTGTACCTTTCCCCCTTACCAACATTTATTATTGCTTGTGTTCTTGATAATTGCTGTTCTGACTGGAGTGAGAGAAAATCTTAGAGTAGTTTTGATATGCATTTCTCAAATTGCTAGAGATGGTGAACATTTTTTCATATACTTGTTGAACTATCATATTTCTTCCTTTGTGAATTGTTGAGTTCCTTAGCCATTTATTGATTGAGTTATTTGTTTTTTTAGTGGTAAATTTTTTTTTAAGTTTTTTATATATCCTGGAGATTAATGCTTTATCTAAGGTGCATGTGGGAAAGTGTTGGGAGTTGCCACAGAGGAACTGAGCACCCCCTAGCTTTGAGCGATGAAAATGTGGAGACGGGCTTCCCTGAAGGGAAAGCAGGTGGATCCCCATCTCCAATCAGCAGAGGAGAAACACTTTGGGAGTGGGTGTTAACCAATGGGAGTGGGCTACCCCTTGTAATATTACTCCTCTGCCTTATATGGATAGAATGTTCTTTGGAACACCCTCCTTCAATAAAACCAGGATTTGAGGCATGCTCTTTCTCTTTCCAACAGATCCCTAAGGTGGAGAGCCATCACAGAACCCAAAGAAAAAGGTATTTTCTGTTTGTGTGTAATTATTTTCTGCCAACCCAAATTCACTTGGAGTGACCCTGATTGATTTAGTTGTGTGTTGTGGCAGGAAAGATTTTCTCCCATTCTGTAGACTCTCTTTATGCTCTTGATTGTTCCTTTGCTGAGAAAACAGTTATTAGTTTGAATTCATCCCTTTTATTAATTTTTGATTTTATTTCTTGCCCTTTAGGAGTCTTGTTAAGGAAGTCAGTTCCTAAGCCAAAATAGTGAAGATCTGGGACTACTTTTCTTCTATTAGGCACAGAGTCTCTGTTCTAGTGTTTAAGTCTTTGAGTTAAAATTTAAGTTGAAATTCAACTTCACTTTGAGTTGAATTTCATGCAGGGTGAGAGATAGGGGTTTAACTTTATTTTGTTACATATAGATTTCCAGTTTTCCTAGCACTTGTTGAAGAGGCTATCTTTTCTCTAATGTATGTTTTTGGTGCCTTTTTCTAGCTTCAGTTAATTGTATTTGTGTGGGTTTTTCTCTGTGTCTTCTATTCTGTACCATTGTTCTCCGTTTCTGTTTTGGTGCCAATACCATGCCATTTTTGTTAAGGCGGCTCTGTGATATAGCTTAAGGCCTGGTATTATGATGCCTCCTGCTTCATTCTTCTTGCTAAGGATTGCTTTGATTATATGGGTGTCTTATTTTTCCAAGTGAATTTCATGATTGCCTTTTCTAGTTCTATGAATAATGTCATTGCGATCTTAATAGAATTGCATTAAGTCTGCATAGTGCTTTTGGAGGTATGGCCATTTTGACAATATTAATACTGCCTAGCCAAGAACATGGGACATCTTTCCATCTTCTAAGATCTTCTTCAATTTCTTTTTGTAGTGTTCTGTAGTTTTATTGTAGAGGTCTTTTTTGAGATCTCTTTTGTTAGATTGATTTCTAAGTATTTTATTTTTTGAGGCTGTTGTGAGTGGGGTAGTTTTTCTAATTTCTCTTTTAGTGGATTCATCACTAATGTATAGAAACATGCTTGATTTATGGATGTTGATTTTATATCTTGCTACTTTAATGAATTCATTTATAAGTTCTAGAAGTTTTCTGGTGGAATTTTTTTGAATATTCTAAATATAAAATCATGTAATCAGCAAATAGTGATGGTTTGAGTTCTTTTCCTATTTGTATCCCTTTAATTTCTTTCATTTATCTAATTGTTCTGGCTGAAGTTTCAAGAGTGACGTTGAATAGAAGTGGTGAAAGGGGGCATCCTTGTCTTTTTCCAGGTTTTAGAGGGAATGCTTTCAATTTTTCTCCACTTAAAATGATGTTGGCCTTGGGTTTAGCATACATAACTTTTACAATTTGAGGTATGTTCCTCTATTCCTAGTTTTTCTAGTGTTTTGAACTTGAAGAAGTGCTATCTTTTGTCAAATGCTTTTTCTGCATCTATTGAGATGATCATGGTATTTTTTCTATTATTGTGATAAATTATGTTTATTGATTTCTGCATATTGAACCAATTCTGTGTCCCTGGGATAAGCACCACTTGATTGTCATACACTATCTTTTTAATATGTTTTTGTATGTGATTTGCCAGAATTTTTTAAAACTAACTTATTTATTTATTTATTTATTTATTTATTTATTTATTGTGTTGAGGATCAAACCCAGTGCCTCACACATGCTAGGCAAGAGTTCTACCACTTAGCCACAACCCCATCCCTGTGAACGTCTATAGCGTTCGGGTCCCTGGGTAAGGGTCACGAAATAACCGGGACACAGGGGATGCAGAGCCAAGGCAGCAATCGCAACTGCATGCTGAAGTTTATTTGCAAGTTTCTTTTATACACTTCTTCTTAACAAAGCAAGCAATTCTTCAATAACACTTTACCCACATTGTCCAAATATCATGCCTCAGCGGATACATAGAGCTAGATTCAAATTGTTCCTGTTTGTTTGATAAGTACCCTCCTAAAGTTCTTTGTAGACATTATCTACTCCTCTGAGGATGCATTTGTTTCTTCAGAATGTACTGTTCCCAGGATAAGTATGCAGGAAGCTTCTTCCTCTTGGCCAAACCATGCAGAACTTGTGACTTGCGATAAGGGGAAGAGAACTTTTCCTCCTCCTAGCTGAGGTTTGCCTCAGCTGACCTAAATCACAGCCACAGCTCTTGCAAAAAGTCAGGCCTGAGGGAGCTAAACTCTGCACACTTAAACCCCAGCACATCCCAATTTGCCAGAATTTTAATAAGAATTTTTGCATATATGCTCATCAGGGATATTGGCCTGAAGTTTTCTTTCCTTGATGTGTCTTTGTCTGGTATTGGTCTCAGAGTTACTAGCCTTAAAATGAGTTTGCAAGGCTTTCCTCTTTTCCATTTCATGGAATAATTTAAAGAATATTGATGTTAATTGTACTTTGAAGGTCTTGTAGAATTTGGTTGAGAATTCATCTGGTCCTTGGCTTTTTTTTTTTATTGGTAGGCTTTTGATGCCATATTCTATTTCATTGCTTGAAATTGGTCTGTTTAAATTGTGTATGTCTTCCTGATTCAGTTTGGGTAGGTCATATATCTCTAGAAATTTGTCAATATATTCAAGATTTCTCTTTTATTAGAGTATAAATTTTCAAAATAGTTTGATTATCTTCTGTATTTCAGTAGTGTCCATTATGATATTTCTTTTTTCATCATGTATTTGAGTAATTTGAGTTTTCCTTCTGTTTCTCATAATTAGCATGGCTAAGAATTTATCAATTTTATTTATTTATTAAAAAACACAACTTTTTGTTTTGTCATTTTCTTGGAATTGTTTCTTTTGTTTCAATTTCATTGATTTTAGGTCTGATTTTAATTATTTCTGTCTTCTACTGCATTTGGTGTTGATTTGGTCTTCTTTTTTTAGTGTTTGAGCTGTAATGTTAGTTACTTTTTGACTTTCTATTTTTTAGTGAATGAGCTCAATGCAATAAACTTTCTTCTTCACACTACCTTCATAGTGTTCCAGAGACTTTGATATATTGTATTGGTGTTTTCATTTACCTCTAAGAAGTTTATTATTTTATCCTTGATTTCTTTTGCTATCCATTCATTATTCAATACTGTATTATATAGTCTCCAGGTGTTAGAGTACCATCTATTTTTCCTTTGATTTCTAATTTCATTCCATTATGATTTGGTAGAATGCGGGGTATTTTATCTCTATTTTTTTTTTGTATTTGTGAAGAGTTGCTTTTTGGCAGAAGATATGGATTATTTTAGGTAACAATCTGTGTGCTCCTGTAAAGAAAGTGTATTTGCTCATTGATGGATGAAATATTCTATATATGTCTGTTAAGTCTAAATTATTGATTGTATTATTTAGTTCTATAGTTTTTTTTGTTTGTTTAGTTTTTGTTTGAAAGACCTATTCAGTTGTGAGAGGTGTGTTAGAGTCAACCAGTATTATTGTACTGTGGTCTATTTGATTCTTAAAATTGAGAAGGGTTTGTTTAATGTACACAGATGCTCCATTGTTTGAAGCATATATATATATATATATATATATATATATATATATATATATATATAATTGTTATGTCTTTCTGATGTATAATTTTCTTAAGCAGAATGAAATGCCTTTATTTATCCCTTCTGATTAGCTTTTGCTTGAAGTCTACTTTATCTGATATGAGGATGGAAACACCTGCTTGTTTTTGTGATCCATGTAAGTGATATGTTTTTTTCCATTCTTTCAAATTTAGTCTGCAGATTTCTTTGCCTATGAGGTGAGTCTCTTGGAGATAGCATATTATTGGTCTTATTACTGGTCTTATTTTTAAATTTTCCAGTCTATGTCTTTTGATTGCCATTAGCATTCAAGCTTATTATTGAGATGTGATTTGTATTTTGATCATTTTGGTTTATTTCTGGCTTTTAATTTAATTTAGTTTCTCCTTTGATTTACTATTCCCTTAGTGTAGTTACTCCCTTTGCTGATTTTCATTTTTTGTTTAGCATGTTCTTTAATACAGGCTTTCTACTTGTGAATTCTTTTAACTTTTGTTTATTGTTTAAGGTTTTTATTTCATCTTCAAATCTGAAGCTTAATTTTGCTGGATATAAAATTCTCAGTTGACATGCATTTTATTTCAGAGCTTGGTAGATGTTATTCCAGGACCTCCTAGTTTTGAGTGACTGGGTTGAGAAATCAGCTGAGAACTAAACTGGTTTTCTTTAAATATAATCTGATATTTTTCTCTTATAGTCTTTAAAATTCTATGCTTATTCTATCTGTTAGGCATTTTATTATAATGTGCCTTGGTGTGTGTTTGTTGTAATTTTGTACCTCTGGAGTTTTATAAGCCTTTTTTATTTGATTTTTAATTTCATTCTTTAGGCATGGGAAATTTTCTGATATTATTTAATGGAAAAGATTGTGTATTCCTTTGGTTTGTATCTCTGGGCCTTCATCTGTCCCAATAATCTTAAATTTTGTCTTTTCATGTTCTGTTCATGGTCTTACCATCTTCTCTGTGTGTTCAACTTTATTTTCAAGATTATATATTTTGTCTTCTTTGCCTGAGGTTCTGTCTTCCAAGTGGTTTAATATATTAGTGATACTTTCCATTGAATTTTTAATTTGGTTTATTGATTCCCTTATTTGGAGGGTTTCTTCTTGATCTCTTTTCTGAATCTCTCTTTGTTGAAGTGATCTTTTAGCTCCTGAAATTTATCTCTGATTTTACTTCTTACATCATTCTTTACATCTAAATGTCTTCTCTGACATTTCTTTTACTGTGTTTTCAATGGATTCTATTATTGGAGTATCTTAGTTTGTTTGGGGTGTTTTGTTCCCTTTTTTTCCACGTTGTTTGTGTGCCTTCTCATCTAGCAATGTACATATAAAGTGTACAGTTTCTATCTCATAGACTTATTGTGTCCCTGAATGTTTCCAGTACCTCACCTTTAAGATGGAGACCAATATTAAAAGCACCCAATGCAAACAATTTGTAGCCTTCAACCAAATAGCTCCTTCTAAAATGTCTACAGATTTGTTGCAATAAATAGAAATTATGAGTTTATTCATTGTCTATGATATAAATAGTAGGTTTGCAAAAGGGTTCAGTATTTGAAATGGTGGACAAAGAGAGAACAGAAAACAGAATGTGATATTTTTAAGGAAGGAGGAGAAAAGATAGAAGTAAAAAATTATAGGAAGAGGAAAAGAAGAATTAATAGAGGTTGGCTGTCAGTAGGAGAAAATAGAGAGAGAATCCCAGGAAAAGATAAGTGAGAAAAAAATTTATATATAGCAAAAATTAAAAAGAAAAAGAAAAAAGTCAAAATAAAAGAATATACAAAAAACTGTAATGTATTAACAGACATCCTAATCCTTAATAAACTTATGCATAAAAATACTTGGTTTCAAAAATTGTAGAGAAGTGAGAGAGAGAAAAAAAAACAAGGAAAAAAAAAGAGGAGCTCAATGAAAAATCAAACAATTGTTTTCATTGGCATTCAAAAGTTTCTCAGCTTCCCTTCTCATCTGGGGTTGTCTGGAGTTTGATGGTAGCTCCACCCTCAGGTCAGTAAGTGGAAGTGTTAGTCTTGGAGAACTCCTGGAGGTGGGGCATAGTCAGGTGGGGCAGTTTCTTCACTGTGTGCCAATTCTCTGGAGACTTTCTGTCTGTGCACTTCTAAGGCCCCATAATTGCAAGTCCACATTGAAAGACTGTACCCCAGGAATCTCCTTTGGGTTCCACTCTTGTGATAGAAGAGCCTGTTCTTAGCCTTTTACTTTGCCTGAGGACCCCACAATTCCTGGTCTCTAATTAGTCTCTAAACTCAAATCTCTCCTGCCCCAGCCCTTTAAAATTCCTGCTCGCACACTTCTCTCCCAGGCAGTCCTGAGGGCTGAGCACCAGGACCTGTGCTGCTGGTCATGAGAGCTGTTCTGTATCTGGCACATCAAGACCAAGTGCTAAGACCTGAGGGCCAGCTGCATAGCTGCAAGTTATGGGCTGAGTTGGGAGCTATGGAGGGGTTGGGAGACTGGGGACTGGAAAGCCAGAGGGCCCCATTGGGTGCTGGGTTGATGCTGGACCTGGTGGGATGAGGGGATCGGTGGATGCCAGATGGGGGAGGGAGTTGGGGACCAGGCTGGTGCTGGGTCCCAGGTAGTGCTGGGTGGAGTGGGCCCCTGGAACCCAGAGGGTGCTAGACTGAGCTGAGAGCAAGATGCCATCACTCCCTCTTTCAAACTTCTGATTAATTGTAGCCAGCCCAGTCAGTACCCACTTCTGACTTTCCATAGGATTGTTAGGCTCAGACTGGCCTACAGAGTCCTAGCTGCAAACTGATAGATCTGGGTTTCAGTTACCCTACAGTAGCTCTGCCATACTCCAATCCCAAGATCCTGCTGCCTTAATCTTGAACCATGGAGCCACCAGGAATACAGCTTTCTCTTACTTGGCCATCTATTTATCTCTCTCTTCTTATAAAGCTATTGGGATTCAATGATGATGAATCCACCCTATTGACCTTATGTAATTCTGATCACCTCCCCAAAGCTTCATCTCTAAATACCATAGTCAGATTAGTAGCACATGATAGAGATGAAATCTCAATACATGAACTCTTTGGAGACATTCAAATCATATCCAAATCATAGCACCTTGACATGCTTTTTTGAAATGTTTGTGTTATTGAAATAATCTATTGATAAAATTTACTGAGTCATTCCTCATAGTACCTGTCCTGGGTTCATGCTAGACAATTAATATTTATGCAGACACATAGGAATAAGGTCCAATATGGACAGAAAGTGAGCCTACCATCCAGGTCCCTGGAAGCTTTCTTTGCTCCTCAGGATTGTGGCCACAGTTGACACCAATGTTGCTTCTGCTTCTGCTGTGGGTCTCCCCCAACCTCAGTGCCCCTGCATACAGACACGTGTCACTAGGCCATTTGCTTAGGGTCTGTGCTACTTGTCTTGCTCACTGGTGTGTTTAATGTTATTTAACCTAGTTCTTTTTCCTTGCATCTCCTGTTAACTAATTGTGAGATCCAGAGAACTGATTTTCTTTTATATATATATATATATATATTTTAGTTGTTGATGGATCTTTATTATTTATTTATTTATATGTGTTGCTGAGGATTGAACCCAGTGCCTCACACATGCTAGGCAAGTGCTCTACCACTGAGCCACAACTCCAGCCCAGAGAACTGATTTTCTAAAGAGAATATTACATATGTTATATTCTTTAAATTTTATTATATTATGAGCAAACAAACATCTTGTAAGGATTTTAATTTTGGTCAGTGGTTGGTATCAGTCACCCATAATTTGTGGCTTCAGTCAGCCACAACCCTTTATCATAAATCTGTGGGTTACCTGACTTCACTGGAATCATTCTATATATGGTATGAAGCAGTTATTTGAAGACTTAACTGATTTGGAATGTCCAGGATGACTCACTGGAGGTTCAACTGATTTGGAATGTCCAAGACATGACAGTTAGTCCTTGCTATAGGCAGGGATTTTGTGTAGGGCTGTTATTTGGAGCACTTTGGTTCTCCTCTGTGTGGCATTTCCAAGGGTATGATTCAGCCTTCCTAAAAGTACTGCAGCTTCAGGATAATCATAGTTCTTCTGTGGTGGCTGCATCCTAGAAGTGCAAAATTAGAAGCTGTCAGGCCCTTTAATACTTGGGGCAGGAACTAGCACAAAATTTCTTCTACAGCTTTCCACTGTTTAACTAAGCCACAGAGCCAGCTCGGATTCAGGAGGAGGAAACAGATAAGGGGCACAACAAAAATTGTTCATCAGTGTCATCGTTGTAAGAGATAACCATAGACTCCCATTCTTTTTCCAAACAGGTAAGTTCATAGTAGTTATCCTATTTCTGTTCCTTCACTGAATGTTGGATGTGCAGGCAGATAACGTAATTTTTTAATTCACAGGTTTCTAGATTAAGAAAAAGTACATTTAAAACTTATGTAGAAACTAGTCTGAGGTCCTGGACTCCAATCATTATACCAAGATAATAGAAATTTTGGCTCTTACAGAGTGGGTGAGAATATTTTATATGCTAAAGGAAGGGGATGGGGAGATTATTTGTGAACCTCCAGAAATGTGGATTGTGTAGATTAAATTATTTTCCAAAAATAGTTTCTATACTTTCATACCATGACCCTCGAATATGTGTGAATTAATTATTGCTGTATAGCAAATAACCACAAACTATGGATAAGAAGTTCAAGTATAAGTCATCTAATTCCTTTGTTTGGATGATTCTCACAGGCTATAATGAAGTTGACACCTGGGGTTAGGGTCTAATTTGAATGTTCAACTGGAAAAGGATCTGCTTCCTAAGCCTTTTGAGATTATTGACAGAATTAATTTTCTTGAATATTTTTCCCATTTGTCAGCTGAAGCCATGCTCAGTTCCCAGAGATGTGGCACCCTTTCCATGGTGCAGATCTTCAGTGCTGTAGAATGCTTCATCAGAATCAGCAAGGAAGAGGATCTAAAAGTAAGAGAAGATATAGTCTTATATAATAAAGTTACAGAAGTTGCCATAGGACATTGGTCAGAAATAGATCTATCCATGCTCAAGGGAACTGCGTAAGTGGGGACTATCAAGAGGTGGGATAATTGAGAACTGTCATAAAGTCTGCCACAATAGGCTCCTCACTAAGGGACTTTGTACCCTATACATTTCAAACCTGACCATAAGATTTATTTGAGCCAATGGAATGTGGTAGAAAGTGATATGAATTGCTTTTAAGGATCTTTTAAGAATTGTCACCTGTAAAAGCCAGGCAGGTGGTGGGTACTTGTAGTCCCAACACTTGGGAGCCTGGGGCAATGGGATCACAAGTCAACACTGGCCTGAGCAATGCAGTGAGATCCTGTCTCTTATAAAAAAAATTAGGGTGTTGGGGGTGTATCTCAGTGCCAGAGTGTATGCCTGAGGCTCTGGGTTTGATTCCTGGCACATCTGTTTGCCCTCTGCCTAGCTTATCTCTTTAATTCTCTTTTTAACCTTCCATAGCATCTATGTGGATCATGAGAATTCTCCTGTAACCTGCATGAGTGCAGTCAAGAACCCAGAGTCCCTCAAGGAGTCTGAAAGGCAAAGTTGCATCTGAACATCAGGATAGAAATACTGACCAATTAGAATGTTGTACAAGTTAAGCATGAACTGCATGCAGAATGTTGAGCCATACCAGCTGAAAATAAGGAAATGTTACTTATATAAACTTCTGGCTTCAGTTTTCTCCTAACCTTTGTGAAATGGAGAAGAAAATAATGCTCTGTTATTTTCTATCTGTTATGCGGTCAAATTCTACTCTAGACAGTTGTGACTAATGGGCAGGTCTCTCCTCTCAGAAACTCAAGCCTTCCTTCCTGCTGTGCACTGAACCCCAAGCAACAGGATAACAATTGAAAGGGCATGTTCAAAACATGCAAATTGCTAAGTAAGTGCTTGCTCTTCAACACATCCAAATATGTAGATTTGGACTGTTAATCCAGCCTGCCATGATATTTTTACACAGCACAGTTTGGTATTTAAAGAATATAACTCTGGATTTAGAACTTCTGGGTTGAATCCCAATTGTTTACTGGCAGCATGACCTTGCTAAATAACATGAATCCTATGTCCCCTGGTTTCCTCATATGTAATATTGGGATAATACTTACAGGATTGTTGTGAAGATTAAATGAATTAATACAAAAGGCATAGAAGTATGCCTAGAAAAATTAAAATCCCTCAAAATATTGTTAGAATCCTCCAAAATGGTTATCTTGGAGCACAACAGGAGAGGTGATCAAAGGGAATGACTGGAAGCTCACTTCTTCTAGGGAAGATTCTATGTCCTGGGGAAAAAAATCTGATTTTTTGCATCTTACAAATTTTAGAGTCTATTATTGTATGAAAATTAGTCATGATATATCCTAAACATATTTTCAATTTCTATAATTTCTATGTCTGAATAATAATTCTTAAGAACAATTTTAAAACACAGTGCCTAGGAATTACTGAAAATTCCTGGGACATCTTTAGATCTTTAGATCTCCAAAAGGCTCTGGGCATGGCAGGGTCAAAGCTTATACCTCCAAGGAGGAAATAATGATAAATTTGCATGCATATATGTATGTGCATGTACATATGATGCGCTAAAAAGTTGTAAGTAGAAAATGGAAGAATTCGAGAAAGAGGGATCTAAGGGACTTAAAGGGTGGTAGGATTTGCTGGGGTGATGAGGGTCAGGGCTTTAGTTTTAATTTCCTCTTTTTGTCCCTTCCTCCTATACTCAAGAAGTCTGTTTCTTAGCTATGTGGTGTGGGTCTGGAACTCTAGAACGGAGTGGGTATTCTCTGTGCAAATCTGCCTGAAGCAGCAGTAAGCTTCAGATAATGGAGACCTTTGGCTGATTGCTTCTGCATTTCAGTGAGCCCTGGGACATTGATTCCACCTTTTATCTTTTGTGTGGAATTGGAGTCATCTTTCTGTCTTGTTACTGCATTCACTGGTGAACGTATTTCTCAGTAGCTGGAAAAAAAAAGAGAAACATTGATCAGGTAAGGGAACCCTCAGTTCAGTTTTTTTTATTCCCTTTATTCTAAAGTAATTATTAGAATAGAGAGATAGCAGGAAGGAGAATTCCTCAGGAGAGATCAGGACATCCTTTAGGAGAATAAGTTGTTTGGGAAAAAGATAGGGCGGGGACAAAGGTTTTTATTCAAAGTTCACAGATCATCTGCTTAGTTGTGGTAAGAAGATCCAGAGTAAAATCTCAAATATTGTGATTCATGGGCCATGAATTGGTTTTATAAAGAGAACTCAGAAAACCTAAGGAGAGTTTGCCTTCAATGCTCAGCAGCTGCCTTACCATCATAGATGTCTCTGGGACAAGCCTCTCCTTATTAGGTTTAACCTGGAGAGCAATGCTGAGCCTCTGAAAGCCCACTCCTGGTATAGAATTAAACAGAGTGGAACATACATATTCCTGATGATATGGGATTCTAGGTCCTTTACAGTAGAGGGACTACCATTTGAATAACAGTTGAGGACTGTAAACAGTAAACCGTTCTTTGAGTATACAAAGAATTGGTAGGAAATATATCAACTTTAAAAGTGAATAATGGAAGAAATATAACCCAAATCGACATAGAATGTCACATTGTTAATACTGGATGTCTGCTGCTTGCTTAGATTGGAGAGAGTGAGAAATGGGTTCCACCTCTCATTTTTTTTTTTTCCTTTCAGTGGCAGGAAGAGAAACAAAGTGAGAGCTTTCAAAGATTTCACTATTCAATCCAGGGCTGTCCCAGAGATAATCATATGTTTCTCTTTATAAGGTCTCAGTTACAGAATTGCTGAGGGTATCAGTTCCTAAAGTTAATCCTCAAAAAACCCGGCCCTTTGAGGGGAGGCCTTCAGGAAGTAAACCAGAAATGGGGACACTTCTCATTCTCAAGGGAATTCTTCAATCCTGATGGAGATGGGCAGTGGCTCTTGCCAGTGAGGTGGTGGTGTGAGATTTAGTAGAAGCATAGGTTATCGTGGAGGCAAATTGTGGGTCTTGACTTTGTACAACTTAACTTCCCTAATTTTCAGACTCATCCTTTGAAAGAGCATCATCTGGCTTGCTACCCTCTGTTGTGATAATCTACTGTGCATGGAATCCTTTTCTAATGAAACAGCCTTATACATATGTTAGCCTTACTATTGTCATTAACTTTCTGATAGTAAGTGCTAATTCCTGGGAGGTTCTCAGGGACAAATTTCAAAATGGTCTTTTCCTAGTTGAACATTCTACAGAGACTCCTGAAAGATCCCTGTTACTTTCTTCAACCCATTCGTTGTTTCCCTAATAAGAGCTTTCCTGAAAAGCATCAAAATGGCCCTAGACCAACTTTCTCTTCAGAAATGATGATTTAATCTCTACAAATTCCCCTCATATCACACTTCCAGGCTTGCTCCTTAGAATTCCAGGATCTCATAGCAGCCTAGGGGATGGCATAAAAAGGAGACCCACAGGGGGGAGTGAATTATGAAAGGAAGCCTGGAGTGGAGGGATAATTGGAGTATCATGAAGTCAGGAAGGTGTAGAAACGTACATTGTCAGACCTCAAGGCAAAACCATCCCCACTCTCTCCTGGATGCCCTTTTTACCTTGTCTTTTATAGGCACCTACACAAGCTCTCTTGAGGGTAGCTTTCCAGAGCAGTTAGAACAAGATCCATTTCCAAGGATCTTATGTGGTGCTGAGGATCGAACCCGGGCCGCACGCATGCCAGGCGAGCGCGCTACCGCTTGAGCCACATCCCCAGCCTCTCCAAGGATCTTGAGCAAAACTATGGAAGCAGACATTCTGTTGTAGGAGGATCTGGGGAAAATGCTGTTCTCATTCTCATCTTTGGGTTTCACTGAGTTGTGATTCACTCTGGTCTCTAATCACCTACTAGAGTGAACCATCTTACTTTTCTTGTTTTCACTGTCCATTCTGGGTGCCTTTCTTCCATCAGAACTGCATTCAACATTGTTCTTGTGCCCTGTCACACTACCTCCTGATTTTTCCTCCTATACCCCTAAAGACTACTCAATTACTGTATCTTATTCCTCAACTAGTCCTCTTTTCTCTTTGGGCTTTAACTCCTCACTTGGTCCTACATATTCCCAGTACACTTTTCCTCTTTGGGTATGCATATTGCAAAGGCAGACTTCATGGATGGGGCCTCATATCTCCTTGAAGAAAACCCTTAAGGGAGGATATCAGAAGAAAAATTCAGTATCTGGCCTGCGTAGCTCACTTCCCGAATCCTTTTCTCTGTGTTAAGAAGGATGGATGGACATAGTCATTGTCCTAAATTTCTTCTCATACCTCATGGTCTCAGGATAAAGAGGAGAGTAAACAGGATAAGAATCTATCGCCAATTTAAGAGAGAAAGGACCATAAAACCTCAGGTGACCTGAGCTAAAGTATGTCAAATAGGGAATGCAAGATTGGAGATCTTCTACCTAAAAAAGATTCTTCTTCTTAGGGGAGACTGTCAGAAGAGAACCCTGTAAATAAGTCACCCTAGTTCCTTCTATAGGACCTGCCAAAGAGCACTTAAGAAATAGAAGTGTTTGTTGCAGTGCCTTCATCCATTATAAAGAGTGAAGAGGCAAAAAGATCATGGCACGGAACCAAGACTGCTGCTGTGCAGAGCTCAGATCCCCTAGAAATCAGACTTGCCTCATTGGACAAAGGGGACATTGAAACTCAGAAGAACAAGCCCAGTCATTGGCCAGATCTTCCAGGAGAAAACCAGTTTAGGTATGAAATCAATGTAAAGAAAGCAAGTCCACCTGAGGAGAAGCTTAAGACTAAGACAAATTTCAACAATACATTTTCCCGTGATTACCAGGTTTGCTACATTCTTGAGGAAATGAAAGGGCTGCAGATGACATCTTGACACCTTCAAGTATACTCTTAAGCTTCTGAACAGTCTAAACAGTACTAGACAAGTAACAGAATA